GACATCATTTTAAATGGAGGAAAAACTGGAAGCATTCCCATTGAAATCAGGAACCAGACAAGGCTGTCCACTATCCCCACTTCTCTTTAACATAGTGCTAAAACTCTTGGCAAGAGCAATAAGACAAAAGAAGGAAATTAAAGGAGTAATAATTGGAAAAGAAGAGGTCAAATTATCCCTTTTTTGCAGATAGGATGTTATATCCAAGAGGCACCAAAAATTCCACCCGAAAATAGAAATTATTAACACATTCAGTAAAGCGGCAGGTTACAAAATTAACCTACAAAAGTCTAGCCTTTCTATATACCAATAACAAGCAATCAGAGAAAGAGTACATGGAAACATGCCCCTTCAAATAGCTGCAAATATATATATTTTATATATATATGAATGCATACATGGAATAAACCTGACCAAAGACATTGAAGACCTCTACAATAAAAATTTTAAGTCTTTAAAGAAAGAGATTGAGGAAGACATCAGAAGATGGAAGGACCTCCCGTGCTCATGGGTTGGCAGAATTAATATTGTGAAAATGACCATCCTACCAAAAGCCATGTATAGATTCAATGCAATGCCAATCAAAATCCCCATGACATTTTTCACACAATTGGAAAAAATATCCTAAGATTCACATAGACGCACAAAAGACCTCAGATAGCCAAAACAACCCTGAGCACTAAGAGCAATGATGAGGGGATTACTATACCAGATTTTAAGCTGTATTACAGAGCTATAGTCATAAAAACAACTGGGCACCGGCACAAAAATGGACCCATTGATCAATGGAACAAAATTGAAGACGCAAATATGAGTACATGCAGTTTCAGCCACCTGATATTTGACAAAGGGGCCAAGAATATCCACTGGAGGAAAGACAGCATGTTCAGCCATGGTGCTGGCAAAACTGGATCCCCACCTGTAGAAAAATGAAACTAAACCCCTATCTTTCACCTTGCACGAAAGTCAATTCCAAATGGATCAAAGACCTCAATGTAAAGTCCGAAACTCTGAAACTATTAGAAGAAAACATTGGCAATAGCCTACAAGATATAGGCGCAAGAAAGGATTTTCTAATCCGGACATCAGTTGCTCAGGAAACAAGCTCAAGCATCAACAAATTTTACCACATTAAACTAAAAAGCTCTGTACATCAAAGGAGGCAACCAGGGAAGTGAAGAGAAAACCCACAGAATGGGAGAAAATCTTCACCAGTGACACATCTGACAGAGGTTTAACATCCGGAGTATATAATGAACTCAAAAAACAGTGAATCAAGACAGGACGCAACCCAATTAAAAAATGGGCTAAGGAGCTGAACAGAGAGTTCTCAAAAGAAGAAGTAAAGATGGCTAAGAAGTATCTTAAAAGATGTTCAACATTACTAGTAATTAGACAAATGCAGATTAAAACCACTTTATGATTTCATCTTACCCCAGTCAGACTGGCTAAGATCAGTAGAACGAATGATATCAAATATTGGAGAGGATGTGGGGAAAAGGGAATGCTCATACACTGCTGGTGGAGCTGCAAACTGGTTCTATACCTATGGATAGCAGTGTGGAGATCTCTTATGAAACTACAAATGAACCTACCATTTCACCCAGTTATACCACTTCTTGGCATATACCCAAAGAACTCATTCTATCGCAGACACACTTGTACATCCATGTTTGTTGCTACTCTTTTCACAATAGCTAAGAGATGGAAACAACCTAATGTCCCTCAGTTGACGAGTAATGAAAATGTGGTTCATTTATATGATGGAGTTTTACTCAACAGTAAAGAAAGATGAAATCATGAAATCTGCAGGTAAATGGATGGAACTAGAAACTATTATACTAAGTGAATAACATAGTCTCAAAAAAAATTGACATATGTTCTCCCTCATATGTGGATCCTAGAACCAAACCCTGATAAGTGAGTATGTATCCAGACATAATTACAGGAACCAGGATAACGGAAAGGAACCAGGGAGGTAAAGGAAAAGAAAGAGCCTGAAAGAGAAGACAGTAGTAAACCTGCCTCAATAAGGGAGATATGGATAAAAATTAGGTTATTTTAAGGGAGGCGGGGAGGGAAGGGTATACAAGGAACCTAGGGGATAAAGGGAAAGAAGGAGCTCAAGAGAGGTAGGACCATAGGAGAAGCGTATTATTAAGGGAGAAAGGGGGAAAATGGGGGCACCTTAATTGGGGAAACTGTTGGAGGGGTTAGACAATGAGAG